CCCATTTCTATATGTTCTCCTTTAACCAAAGGTTGTCTGTAAGAGATTGCCTTAACGATAAGACCGTCTTTTGTACCTTTATAAATATATATTTTGATCCGTACTCCATGCTACTGTATTTCAGTTGAATTGTTTATATATGTTATTGTTTATTTTTATGTTTTTGGTGCAATAAAGAGTTAAATAAAAACTTCTGTGCAGTACTATTCTTATAGTAAACAAGACACCTGAACGCCGCCTCGCTTATCGCCGTTTGCAGTTTTTGCGGTCACCATTTCGCTTTATCTGCACCTAGATTGCTCCTTGAATTGCAAATTTTGCCCGCGTCCACGTACACTGGCGTTGTTAATTTTTTACGACTGTACAGTATACACCGAGCCATAGTGCCAGTTTGCACCGAGGACATCTTCAGAAATGGCGATTGTATTGTGTAAATTGTACTTAAAAAGCGTATACAGTGTGAATTTTAGGTAACTTGCTAGAGATTGCTTTTTTAAGCGACTTTTATAAAGAAAGTTTTGTGTTTTTTTTTATGCAACTTAGAATGGCAAGCAAGCTGACGGCCCACCTGATGGAAAGTGGTAACCATCGCTTATAGACATGAGTAGTACCATGAACATAACAAAGTATACTGTTTCGCCCATGATACTCTCCATGCGTTGCCATTCCTGAGGACTCAGGTGTTATTCCTGTGTACCCTGTAAATTCATTGCCATATCCTATCCTTCAAACCGAAACGCAGCCATGCAGCTAGCTGATAATGTTAGTAAGGATAGTGAAATAATGTAGTGTAAATAGGGGATAGATATTTATATTTTTTTTTTATAAAATAAATTAAAATAATAAAATAATATGAAACTCTGCTGTGAGGAGCTGGTGTCTGTAATAGGTTAAGACCTGTAGTACAGATCGCCAGGCCCCCAACCGATATGTGTTAAAATAATAGAAAATGCATTCCACTGATATTACACAATCCAAAAATAAAAATAAAAAACAATAATTTTATTATATTTGCTTTGTCTGTTCATATTTTTATATATTTGATGAGATATTGAATAAACATCGCCGTATATTTTAATTTTATCACAGTGCAATCCATCTACAACAATGCCCACGTATTGTACATATCCAATTCTTAAACAAAGGAAAATGTATTTGCAGACAACAATCCTGTGAGCGAACTTTTAAAAGTTATTTTTTAATCAGCCGTTGCATCTGCATCTAGTTAGCGCATCACTTATCACATTAACCCTGCCGCCGCTGTAATTGCTAGCACGCGTAAATAACTGAACGGGAGACGGGCGTAACAAGCGTTAAAGTATTAACCTGCAACAGTTTGCCGTTCCTGCGAGCAACGAGCTCCCTAATAAAAAGATTAGCTAATTTAAAGAAGTCAGCTACTTGGTATGTTACAGTGTTAATGCAATTTAGCTTTATTTATTACTTATTTTTAAGCGATATAAAAAAGAATGAGTTTCTAAATTCAATGGTATTTTTTTATGTATATTACCCAATGACTTTGTTTGACAATATTAAAATTGATGTTAACAATTCTTTTTGATATTATTTATTTATTATTTTTGAGGGAAACCTACAGTTATAACAACTTAATAATTAAATATGTATGACAAATAATAAGCTAATTAAAAACTATCATATTTAGTTAACGAAAATTGAATTAGTTATAGTCAAGATTTTTTTGTGCAACTTAGAATGGCAAACAAGTTAACGGCCCACCTGATAGAAAGTAACCGTCGCCTATAGACATGAGCAGTACCATAGACATAACAGAGAATATTGTTTCGCCCATGACATTCCCCATGTGTTGCCATTTCTGAGTACTCAGGTATTATTACTCTGTACTCTGTAAATTCACTGCCATATCCCACCCTTCAAACTGAAACACAGCCATGCAAACACAACTGCTTCACGGTTGAAACACGAATGGGACAGAGGTACCCAAGCAATCGACTTTTGTACAAAGTCTCCCTCTGGTTACTGTATAATTAAAATATAGCTTGGTACTGTGATAAAACATTCAGTCCCCTTCTATTTCCAATCGAAATAGCCAGAATACATGAGGTACGTGTTCGAAGTCGATATCCGACTCGCGTCTGGCCGGTGTCTGGGGATCGCAGTTGTGATTCCCGCAGTGCGGCTCGTTATTCGCTGTCTTATGACATTAGCGGTCTGTCCGCCGACCACGTTCCGCGATCGAATGGACGGTCGGACCGCCCTGTCGCGTTTGTAGGGTTATCTCATAGATTATAATGAATCATTGGCGTAGATGGAGCACTAAATAAATAAATTCTAATGCATCTAGACGATTGTATTTTTTTTACTTTTTATGTTAATCATAATGATAAGTTGTAAGTTATTTTTATAAATATCATTAGCATTTATTTTAACAATTAAAATAAAATACAGATTAAAAAGTAATACGCAATCATCTCTATGCTATAATTTTTTTTTATTTGTTTTGCTATCTATTATTCTATACTTACAACGAGATCTAAATTATTGAGATATGCTACGACAAAACTTGTTTTATTTTTAAACGGTACGTATATATATATATAGTATATATATATATATATACATACTGGTGCACATTACATCACATCACATTAGAAACCTTTAAAATTATCAATGTTTTTCTACTATATTATGCATGTATTATGCATATCAACCTTCCTCTTGAATCACTCTAACTATTAAAAAAACGCATCAAAATTAATTTTAAAGATCTAAGCATACATAGGGATGGACAGGCAGTGACAGCGATTTTGTTTTATACTATGTAGTGATATTAGCTAATACGCCGTGTGGTCCCATCATAAAATGGCCCACTTCTTCCTTTGCTGTGGGTATCGTGAGCGACTAAAAGAACTTAATAGTCGAGGGGTCAGCGTCTCTCTTAAAACATCACCAAATCCTAACTGCGGTTGCCAACACGCCTGCCAAGTGTGGTAACTACTGGCAAAACTCCTCTTATATATGGGGGAAGCTTATGTTCAGCAGTGGACAGTTAACAGCTAACATGATGATATTGATGGTTTTCTAATTATAGATTCTGAAATGTATATAAAACAATGTAATATTTTTGGGGGTAGGTACTTTAAATATAAGTTTAAAGGATTTTTTTTATGCAACTTAGAATGGCAAACAAGCTGACGGCCCACCTGATGGAAAGCGGTAACCGTCGCCTATAGACATGAGCAGTACCATGGACATAACAGAGTATACTGTTTCGCCCATGATACCCCCCGTGCGTAGCCATTCCTGAGGACTCAGATGTTATTCCTCTGTACCCTGTAAATTCACGCTATATCTCACCTTATAAACCGAAACATAGCCATGCAAACACAACTGCTTCACGACTGAAACACGAATGGGACAGAGGTACCCAAGCAAACGACTTTTGTAGAACTTTACTAGAATATCTCTTAACAAGTATGAATTATTAATACATAATTGATTTTATTTTCATGAAACGTAAAATAAGTATAATTTTTGCGTTCAAAACTTAGTTATTTATTTATTAATTTTTAATTGCACAGTTAAAATGTACAAGCGGCGAGCTTAATGCCACATGGCACGCTCTAACAGCTAAACGTTAGGTAAATATGTATATAGTTATTAACAAATTTTGGGCAAGTACTAATACAGGATTTGCTTCTAAAGTTTATATCCGGAACTGTCGGTCTGTTCAACTTTAGAGGCTATATCTGGGAAGTCCGACTGCGCTAACTCGATTAGTACTAAATTAAATCGTGAACTAAGCTGTTTAGAATGCTGTCCTACGAATTCAAACGAGCTTACATCTAAAATAATTATTATTAGGCGAGGATTGAAAAAGTTAGCTAATATGGTGAAGGATAAAATCACTTAAATAAACATACTAGCATTTCATTGCCCAATGGCATGTGTAACTATATATTTAAAAGCAATGGCTTTGGCATAGTGTAGAAGGTGCAGTCGCAAATCTTGTTCGCTTCGACTTTTTTTTTAATTATTTATAGTATGCTAATTAACATAACCCATTTCTTAAAACTGGTATTAGAATTCATTAATAGGGTTTTAGAAAAAAATATTTTTTCCTGGAAAGAAATTTATATATTTATATCAGAAAATAAAAATATAAAACTTTTCTAAAAATTAACAATGTTGTAATCATGTTTGTATCTGTAATTAGTTTACTATTGTATTTTTTTTATGCAACTTAGAATGGTAAACAAGCTGACGGCCCACCTGATACACAGCCATGCAAACACAACTGCTTCACGGTTGAAACACGAATGGGACAGAGGTACACAAGCAATCGACTTTTGTACAAAGTCTCCCTCTGGTAATCTTTTGGAGGAAACAGTAAAGAGTATCTATCTAACTAATATTTGAATCAAGGGCACTATATAGTACAGAGTGTAATGTACACACCTATTATTATGTAGTGTCTTTGATACAGACCCAGATTTCTTTACAAGTTTTTTTTTTTGGTAAAGGCTAAACATAGCTATATTTTATCCTGATCGTATCTTAGTCAAACGGACGAAGTATCTCTATAGATACGAAATATAGATACAATTAACCAGTTGCGGTACGAATATAAATGATTTATATTGACAGGAAAACTTAAGCTTTAAAATGGCAAAGGTTCTTTTAACTGCGAAGCCGGGAAGTGGAGTTAATGAGGGCCCGATAACGATCAGGTAGCCGGCGGGGTCCGTGGGGGCTCATTAGGTAATGGCCATCAGTTGTATCATTAGGCTCAACTAATTAGCGGCACTCAAGACGGCCGGACTATCCCGACTCGAGGACGTAATGGGACGAGATAAGAATACTTGGAAGTTATTTCTTTATATTACTGAATGGTAACGTAATCGTATTATTTTTAAAACCAGTCCTCGACTTTTTTAACGATGTCACTCTCTCTCTCTCTTACCCAACCTTACTTTGCAGCAGAAATACATTTGAGAAAGATCCTTGGTAAAGCCACATACCTTTCCAACTCCAGTGGGCTCTTTGACTCCCAGTCTCCGCAGCAGAGCGGGCGGAGGTGGAGGCGGTGCTCTGTGCAGGGCCGCGCTGAACCCGCTCGACGCGTCGTCATCTCGTCGCCTTCTCTCCCGATGGGGAGAACCGCCGGTGCATTTCGTCGAGGTCCTGTTGGCAAATTAAAATAAATTCTTGTAAGAGGCAATTTACAGTGGTACCCTGCACTTTGGTTGTATTTTGTTAAGAGAGGGACTGGCTGAAAACCAGCGCTGTGCAGCTGTTCACATTGCGCTGGGACACTCACAGCATCAGCTGAGCCGGTTCCTTTTGCCTACTATGGGACACTTCTTCTATATGTTATCTATATTTTATATTATAATTGTGTGCTTTTTGGCAATAAATGTTTTCGATTCTATTGTATTTTGTTTATCATTTTAGTGCGGGAAATTGCGTCCCTCCTAAAACATCTCTAAAGCCTAACTGCGGTTAACAATACGCTTGCAAGCGTGGCATATTAAAGGCTGGTATGATGATGATGATGATGATGATGCCTGGGGGAAATTGTTTCATGTAAATACATAAATTTTCTTACAACTCTATCTGTAGATTTAAGTATTTGAATATGGTGCACGTGTTGTCCATTTTTGTTGTAAACCAGCAAGTAAGGTTTTTCGATCTACCGCATGATCTCTTACGAGAAGTATGAGTATGCTATTTAAATGCGATGAAAATGGATGGTAACCTCATCTGCGCTATCGGTATATGCTGGCGAGATACCAGTGAGGGATGATAGGTGAGGATGAAGTCAGGTTACTTAGCCCATCGTGGCAAATATGAGAGAAATTAACCACGACGGTTTTTAGGGAAAACTTCGTATAGGCAAATCTGATAGAGTATATTGCTAGCAATGGAGACTGGAACAATCCTTACATAAATGTATCAACTTTTTCAACTTATACTCTTCGGCAACGTTTCTTTTGTGAAGCTCATAACAATACCGGGCAGGGTAATAAAAGGGAATGTTTTAGTAATTGAAAAAGGAGTGAAATACATTTATTTAAAAGTCAATGTTGTGCCCAAAACTGCCCAGAGTCGAACCAGGATAAATGAGGTCTACGTGACGTCCCCGCTGCAGTGACCTTTTTACATTTTTCAAAAATTCGTCCCGCGCCTATTTCTGTAAAGATAAATAGGTTGGCCACACGCTTGCTATTATTCTTGGGAAATTCTCTCTTAGTGTATTATTATCAGTTGGTAACCTTGGTAGTCTAGGAGCCAAACACACTGCTTCATTTTTCGATGGTCACAAATACAAGTATCGGAATACACAAACATTTATGCCCATGAGTATCTGACTGCAATGGTAAAAGTACTATTAAATATGTCTATATATTGTATAGTATTCATAAAAACTTAGTTTAGTTATAGTTTAGTTACAGTATCAAGAGACAAACTTTGTTAGTTCGAAACTAGATGGCGCTGCATTAAGTGTTCGAGGTTGTCATGTCATTATTATTAAACATATATGTAATAATTATCGTCATCATTTCAGCCATTATGTCCACTGTAGGACATAGGCCTCCCTATAGACTGCCATAGAGAAAAGTCCTGAGTCCCTCAAATACATTGCAGGGAATCGGTGAATGTAGTCACCGATTCCCTGCAATGTATTTGAGGTTGTCACTCCATCTAGTGAGGAGTCGTTTTAAACTGCGTTTGGCCGAACGGGGTCGCCACGTAATAATAACAGCATTTAATATTATTAGATTCATTTCAAAAATTTTCACTGGTAACTGTCAAAGATGGATAGATGGATAGACTTAGCATGATTGTTGCAGGATTTTACGAATGGCCAAATAACCATTTTAGATCTTCAAACCTTTCCCTAACCTTTTTTTAAATAATACTTTCGTCGCTCCATTGTATGACGGACATTTTTAAACCCAACATGCCTATAAACTGATAAATTGAACTTTGCGCTCCCATTTATCATTTCCTCAAGTCAGAATACCAAAAGTGCAGTGCAATACTGTCTGACTTTTCGTCGAGCCAGTCGGTAGTACGGGGCCGTACTAAGGGGCGCGCAGACGAGTGATAGATGGCGTATACGTGACGAGCGACGATGCCGTCCCGTATTTTATTTTAATGCCATCGACTAGTCTCAGGAGGCTTAAAATTGAAAATTCTCCATGTATTGCAGGTAGGGTCACCGCCCCTCCGGTTTTATTCGGAAATATCCGAAATTTCTTCTTCGGACTTCGTTCGAATTTTAAAATTGTTCAAATTTGGAAAGAAGCTGAATGTATGTGAAATTTTCACGTTAAATTACCTTCTTATGCAAAGATTATTTTTATAGGTAAAATAAATCAAGATAATATAAATCATGTTCAATATTAAAGGAAAAATTGGTAAAATAATAAATTTGACAGCTGTGTTTTGTTTTCTTGTAATGGACATTAAAAAGGTATCCAGACACGATCAACTTAAAGTGAGTGAAGTGGTCTTTCATATAATTTTTAGGCATCTAATGTTATGATGGAAATTTCCACCATTATGCAAAGAAGGGTTAAGTTAAGTCAGTCACTAAACGTTATTAAATTACATAAAATAAGTTCCTAAAGGATTTTAATATCTTTAAAATTGTGTTATTTTAAAGACATTATAAGCGGCTTAGAAATATGTGGAGTCGGGTTAAATACCGAGAATATAATTTTATATGTACGCGCTAGAATTGTAACATTGATTTGATTTTTCATGATGTTATAATTGTCTCAATTAAAAAATTAAATAAATTTTAAGGGTTATATTACGCCCGGACTAAAATCTACGTCAAGAACTGTCTCCAATCGCACTTTTTGGTTCACAAGTAAACGGGAAAAGACTATTTTCATTTTAAATAAACAATTCAATTGATTGTTACGAAAAAGACGGAGCTTTTCTCAAATATCCGGCTTAACATTTCGAAATGGTAATCCTAATCGTAGGCGACATTCCCAAAGATAGAGTGTGTTCTAAAAATATAATTCGATTACTAACGAATATTAAATGGAAAGTAATATTGATAGGATCTTAATTTTGACAGTTGTATAGTATATAATATGCAAATATATACAGACGATTACAATCGGAGAAGGGCTGGAGGCACGAGGCGATTAGTTGATTGATGTACTTCTAATGGTTGTAGCACTCCACTTGGCATTGGGTAAATGTTTTTGAATATTTAGTTATTAATCTTCCAATTTGAAAAATAAATGTACGTTTTGTACTATATCACAATACATATAATCATTCTTCAGCCTTTAACTGTCCATTGCTGAATATAAGCCTCCCCCTTGGGGGGTTTTGCCAGTAGTTGCCATGCTTGGCAGGTGGATTGGCAATCGCAGTTAGGCTTTGGAGACGTATTAAGAGGGTCGCTGCTGTCCTTCCCTCGCCCTCCCTTAGTCGTTTCTTACGACACTCACGTGAAAGGAAGGCGTGGCCTATTCTATGCCGGGACCATACGGCCTTAATGTATTATATAATAAAAAACGTCAAACCTCTTATAACCTATTTTAGCTATTAAACTGTTTTGTATCTTTTGTGCTAAATTCTCACTTTGTAAGAAAGCAACATAATAGTGTAATAGTGGGGGGAAAAGGGGTTGTTAGTAATAGGGGTTAGAAACACTATTACTACTAGCAATATACCCTATCAGGTCGACTTCCTCGAAACCCTTAGAAACCATCGTGATTGTTAAACTTTTTTTTTTTTACACAAGGGGCAAACGAGCATGCGGCTGATGGTAAGTGACTACCGCCGCCCATGGTCACCCACAACACTTACGGCATTGCAGGTGTACTGCCGGCCTTTTGATTAGTGAATTAATTAGTGAATTTGTCACGATGGGCGAACTAATTATAATAATTTATGTATTTTACAGAGTATACTGTTTCGCCCATGATACCCCCCATGCGTTGCCATTCCTGAGGACTCTGCTGTTATTCCTCTGTACCCTGTAAATTCACTGCCATATCCCACCCTTCAAACCGAAACACAGCCATGCCAGCCAAACACAACTGCTTCACAGTCGAAACACGAATAGAACAGAGGTATTCAAGCAAACGACTTTTGTACAAAGTCTCCCTTTGGTATATACATATATTGAGACATCAAGTTTAAAGAGTCACCTGGGACAATTAGTGTAGTCTCAGCCATTCAGTTTACATTTATAGAAAAAACATACATAATTCATATAAAATGAACGTAAATTCTAATGTAAAATGTATTAAGCTAATAGCATTATAATTACCTGCAAGATTCCTATGGAACAGCATCGATATAATGAAGTTTCTATGCACAAACAAACGTTGCAGAATGTGAATAGCGTGCACACCTCGCGTGCCCAGTCCCCCATGCTTTATGGGGGTAGAACTATTAACATTCTTATATGGGAATGTTAAGATAACTGTGAACTTTTGTTGACGACGGTTTTTGGCTGTTATTGTATACGACCCGATGAAGCAATTTTGATAGAAGTTCAGACAGGTAAGGAACGAATAGTGATAACGATAGCTGATAACAGATAGTATGTGTCGTTCGTTTACTAAAAATACACACTATTAATAAAGTAACTCAAATAGCTCGTAAAAATACAGTTTATTGCACATATAAATACATACATACATATCTGTCGCGCCTGTCTCCCATTAGGGTATGCAGAAACAATGGAACGCCAAATGCTTCGATTCAAACAAACCTCTTTCGCTTCTTCCACATTCATCAATCTTTTCATACACGCTCGCCGGTTACGGGTACTTTTAATTTGGCCCTTTTTCAGCACGTCGCCTATTTGGTCGACATACCATACGTCCGTCTAGGGCGGCCCCTACCGACATCTCCATTCATTCTTGCTCGATAAATCTCTTTCGTAATTCTTCTTTCATCCATCCTCTCCAAATGACCAAACCAACGCAACATTTCTTGTACATATAAAATACTTGTTTAATCATATAATTATCGGTTGTTTTATTTATATAGATTTTCATATAGATAGGACGTGACTAGTTTAAAAAATTGGCTAACTTTTGAGTTATTTCTTTACTTTTTTTATGTGCATTTTTATGTGGTACGACACGCAATTTTGTATCATATATATAATATAAATACTTTGCATATTTATATATCAA